AAAAGACAGCCATTAGGGGCCGAGGAGATAGCTCAGCAGAATAAGCACTTACCTGGCAAGTGCAAGGCCTGAGTTCAATCTCTGGTTCCGCAAAAAAAGAAAAAAGAAAAAAAAGCCACATATCCTTACAGTCCCTACTAACATGATGATGTTAGTGTACTGAAGCCTACTAACATCATCAGCTATGACCAAGCCAGAGGGTGCTGCAACTGTAGGCACAGATTTGGTTTCCTGAAGAAACAGTGTGGGATTGGTACCGAAGTCACTGAGCAATGGTCACAGTAGTGTCCTTGGTCCCAGACGGCTCTGACAAAATCCAGGGTCCTCCCACATATCACTCTAAAAGGCTTTTCTCTTGCTTTATTGTTAAACACGGTGCATAAATACATAAAACAGTATAGAGGGGACCCCGTTGAGTCTCAAAAACTGCCAACGAGGGGAAGACCCAAAATCTTTTAAGTACAAAATGTGCAAGTGTACAGACTGGGGTGTGGATGGCAGTCCTTAGTGGCCGAGAGACTCCTCCTCCCCTCACAGGCTGGACATGGCTGAGAGGCCACTGGCAGTCGCTCAGTGTGGGGAAACTCAGTCTATAGACAGTGTTCTCAACAAAGAGCTGGCCAATGCACAGAACAGCTAGAAGCTCCTTCTCATTCCAGATCCAGGAGAAGGAAAGTGGCGTTCCCTGCCCCAGGTGCTCCCACCCTTGGCATTTACCAGAACACACCCGGCTCGGACCTTGACCAACCCGCCAGGCACCCAAAGCCTGCCAAAGAGGGGCTAAAGGGGAAGACACCAGGGAACCAAACAGATCTTTATTTGCCGTCATCACTGGGGCCGTTTCTTGCTGCGCATCTGCTTGCTTGCCTGCTCTTCCCGATGCATGGCCAGGCGCAAGGCCTTGATGACCTCTGGAAGGAGAGTACAGAGACACTTGGGGAGACTCCAAGGGCCCAGAACCCAGAAACTGCCCAGGGGCCAGTAGGCCATGTCATCTCACCCCAAGGCCACACTCACCTTGCAGGACTTCCAAGTGCTTGGCTTGCTGGGCCATGGCAGATTCAGCTCCATTTATGAATGTCTCAAGGTCATAGTCTGGCTGGTCAGACATCGCAGAGAGCTCAAGCCAGGCTGGTCCTAGCTGCAACCACGTAGGAGGGACCTTAGCTCAGTGATAGCAGCAACATCTCTCATCATTCCTGGGACCACCGTGTGTGATGCAGATTCCACACCTCCATCCACACTTCCCAAGTGCTGGAATTACAGGTGTGTGCCACCACACCTGGCAGAAATCCTCCCTGTCAAACTTTTCCCTATCTCCTGTATGTATAGTGAATGTCACTGGTCCTGATGCTCAAGCTGGAAACTAAGACAATTCTTTACCCTTTATCACTAAAATTTAGCAGTTCTACTTCATTAGTGTTTTACTTTGGTCAGTGTTGGAGATGGAGCCCAGGGCCCCATGCATGCTAGGCAAGTGCTCTATACTGAGCTCTCCTCTCAGTCACAGTAATTTATCTAAAACACTACAATCATGTCACCCTCTGCCTAAGCTCCTTAGGGAATCCCAAGCCTCTGAAATGAGCATGTGAAGGCTATGCGGCACCTGGGCCCCGCTGCACTGTCCCCAGGCTCGATCTCCCCTGTCATCTACTCACACCTTGGGACTGGGCCAACCATTTGTCCTGAAAATGCCATATCCATTTGAACCCAGGAGCCCTGAACATCCAGGGAGGGGAGGACAGGTTCACCACTCCCTTCACAGTGCTGCCTCTTAGGTCCCCCAAGTTCTTCCTTCTGGTCCCCAATCACAGCACACCCTGCAGTTGGGATGCATTCTGTGGTCCGCGGCAGTGGCAGCAGCAGCAGCACCACTTGTTCCACACTAAGCAGATGCTGGGCTCCATGCTGGGTGTTTGATAAGCATGTCACTTAATCCTCAAAGACACCATCCTATCTTGCCCATTTTAGAGTGCAAAAACAGAGGCCAGTAAGACTAAGCAACCCTAACAAAGCACTCAGCTTATACCTGACAGAGTAAAGAATGAAAGAAAAAAAATTAAAAATCTTTGGGGCCAGGGAGATGGCTCAGTGGATTAAGCGCTTCCCTGGCAAGTGCAAGGGCCAGAGTTCAATCCCCAGTTCTGCCAAAGAAAAAAAATTAAAGAATGATTTCAAGTTCCACTTTAGAGTGCACTATTCGTGCTTGATATTTTAGATACATGTTGGGAACTGCTGAAACTGAAATTAACTGGGGAGAACAGGATATAAGGCCTCACTGCCTAAAGCAGTCAAGCTACCAGTCTTAGTTGGTAGGCAACCTTGTGTCTTACTACTTTGTAAAAGTACAAATAAAGGCCCTTACTACTGAGGAGCTCATCTCCCAACCAGGCAGATGGGTCAACACCTAACGCAGTTCTTGTCTTATCGTTTTCCTCATTCCTGCGGCCCGTTTCTCTCCAAGTACAATGGATCACACTGAGACCAACAGATCCCTACAGATCCATGGTTTCACATAGGAGTGGGAACACTCAGTGAGTCAACGAAGCAAGATCCCTGCATGAGTCACTGTCTAAGCCTCAGCAGGAGCATATAGGGGCAGAGCCAGCCCCAGCCCGAGTGCCAGTGTGTGCCCAGCTGAGCAGGCCAGAAGCAGTCATCAGCTGCCCTAGGAGAAGAGTTGACAGGGAGCACACTCAGCACAACGGTGGCCTAGGGCACCTGCCAGGTGTGCCGAGCACTCTGTGGGCTGCGCAAGAGGCCTGGTCAGTCCCTGGCCAGCTCCTACCTGTGTGATCTCCTTGAGCTCCTCCACAGCCCTTTCCTCCAGCTCCCTGATCTGAGTCATAGCTTCATTAAAGCTGGACATTTGGGAAGACAATTCCTCCTCCTCCTCCTTGGAGAACTAGGGTAAAACAGGAGACAAGCAGTGTGAAGAGTAGGCTAGGCCCCTCTGCAGGGCACGCTCCCACATGGTCTGGCTGCCACCTTACATTGTTTGCTGCAGGGGCCCCGGCAAAGCTGGCTTCAGCCTCATCTATCTCCATTTGCATAGGCTGCTCTCCACTGGGCCCGCTGTAGGGGCTCAATTCTTTGACTCTGAGAAAACATGAAGGGCTTAGATGTCAGGGCCCTCCCTTCCCTGCTGGAATCCAGTGTGGGGGTGGAATGGGAGGGGGACCTGGGGCCCCTGGAACAAAGTGGCAGCTTCACTTTTAGTCAAAGACAGGTGGCAGAGTCTGGAGATACACAGAGACCTTCACACATTGCCCACTACAGGGTACAGGACGGACCTGGTGCCATGGCTGAGCACCCACACACTGACAGTGCGTCTTGGGGAAGACACAGTAGTTTCCAGGCCTCGACCTAACCCCCTCACCCCAGCCATGCCCCACTAGTCCCCCAGGGGAGACACCAGTACCTGTCTGCATATCTGAGTGTATTCAGAGTATATTCACAGGAGCTAATGCCTGGTGAGATCATGGAAATCTGTGGAAGAGGGGGTGGGTGGGCAGAGCTTGAGACAGCGCAAGAGTACCAGACAGCCTGCCCAGAACAGGGGTTCAGACCCATGCTAAGGTGGGAGGACTCAGTAGGCACCATGCTGTGCTGGGAGACTTGCCCCATGGGTACTGAAAACTACAGTGCCTTAAAAATTGGTTTTCGAGCCAAGTGTGGGAGCCCAGATCTGTAATCCAGGCAGTCTGCGAGGCTGATTCCCAGTTCAACCCCAACCTGACCCATTTCGTGAAACAATGTCTCAAAAAGAAATAAAAAAAATCACTGGGGATGTACATCAACACATCCTTTTTTTTTGGTGGTAACAGGGATCAAACTCAGGACATTGTACTTACCAGGCAGGTGCTTATACCACTGAGCTATATCCCCAGCTCCAATTCCTTAGTACAAATGAATGAGTACCTAATTACCTCCTATTCTTCGCTGGAGGAAGGGATGGCAGATCTCCCATAGAAGGACCTAGAGATCTAACTGGGAAAGGAAGGGTAAAAAGGCCCTGGACCTGTGGACTCACACTTAGCCTGTTTCCTAGACTGGAAGACAAAGAGCCTGACGAAAGCCACAGAAGGGACCTTTGCTGCTCCCTTAAAGCCACCTTCTGAACCTGGGAGCTCCTTGTCCAGCAGGCAGGTAAGACAGCAATACTCCCTGAAGCCAACTGCTTCACCGACTTGCAGGGAGGGGAGTGGAAACTCTGCTCTCCACCTGGGCAGGGGGCTGCTGCAGGTGTGGGGGCCAGGCTGAGGGTCTGCAATGCTGGCTTGGAGGAGCCAAGCCTCCTGCCAGGGCCATCTGTCCCCTCCCCTGCTCACCATGCAGGTCCTCGAGTTCTCCCCAATGAAGGAATCTCTCAGCACCTGTGTCAGCTTGCTCTCTCGGAATGGGGTGTGAGCCTTGTTCTGGCCCAGAGCCCTGATGCATTCCTGTGGACATCAGAAAGCAATGAGGCGCCTTCCTGTCTCCGTGCTGCCTGGTCGCTCCCTTCCCTGCTGTCCTCCAGGCCACCCAGCCCTAGAGCCAGCCCCTGCTACCTTCAGGGCCAGGAGACTCTTGTTGATTTCAGCACCCTCCATGCGGGTCTGCCAGTCCATGCTAGAGGTGTCTGCACCTCGCTCATTTCCTGCCAGATCCACCAGAGAGAACTTGCCATGCATCCTCCCTTTGGTTCGAAGAAGAATCTGGAAGCAGGCGTGGGAGCGGGAGGAGTTGGAGTTGGCAAATGTCTGTCCAGAGGTCCTGTATCAAAAGAAGGCAGAGAGAGCTGGTGAGATAGCTTGTGGACTAAGCACCTGCTTAGGCAAGTGCAGGGACCAGGATTTGATCCCAAGCACCACATGCTGTGCCCCAGGATTTGATCCCCACCCACAGGTTCAGTGAGCCAGCCATAGAGACCAGGTGGGCGAGATGTCGCATGCCTGTAATCCTAGCACTGGGAAGGCCGAAAACAGGAGGACCACTAGGAGTCCAAGCTGCATAATGAGACCCTATACTAAATACATAAAA